TGGAGGTAGATTCATTCATTTCCCATGGATTCACTGATATTCTGAATGTTGTTAGAAGTGGGATTGTTTACAAATATAGGGAAGTGTATAGTTATTTTTCTGTTGCTGTGATAAAACACCATGACCAAGGGAACTTATAGAAGGAAGAATTTATTTAACTTATGGTTCCAAAGGGGCAAGAGTCCACCATGGTGGGGAGCCATGGCATCAGAAATGGCTGAAGCAGAAAGCCAAGAGGTCACATCTTCAAGCAGACACAGGAAGCAGAGAGAGAGATTGGAAATCTGGCAAGGCTTAAGAACTCTCAAATCTGCCCCCAGTACGAGCTTCCTCCTAAGATGCAAGGCTGCACCTCCTAAAATCTCTCAAAACATCGGCCACCAACTGGGGATGAAAATATCCAAATACTAGGAGCCTATGGGGGACATTCTCATTCAAATCATCACAGAAATTAACATACATAGGTAATAAACAGTCTCAGAAACAAGGCTCATCTCTCATCTTAACACTTTTCAAGACTCTTCAAATTAAGTAGAATTCCTTAGATTGACACCTTTTAATAACCAGTAAACACTGGTTATTTGAATTTTTTACTTAATGGCGTGTCTGCTTGAGTCTTCTTTTTTTTTCTTTCGGTTCTTTTTCTTATGATTGCAATTCTTTATATATTGTGAATATAAGGCCTTTTAAAATTTTTTGGTTTATACATATTGTAAAGGCCCTACAAGTTTTGCTCTTACCTACATTTTGTTTTCATGTATCTTTATAGCAACATTGTCCAACAGAGGTGTATTGTAAACCATATTTTGATTTTACTTTTGCTTGTAGAATTTATTTTAATTTAACTTTTTCTGAGGCAAGGTACTTCGTGGGCTAGGCTGGCTTCAAACTCAGTATGTAGCTGAGGATGACCTTAAACTTCCAATCTTAACTCCACACTATAGGGCTTCTGAGGGTAGCTGTTAGTCATTTTTTTTTTTTTTTTTTCTTTTTTGGTCTTTTTGAGACAGCGTCTCCCTGTAGCCCCAGCTGTCCTGGAACTCACTATGTAGACCAGGCTGGCCTTGAACTCACAGAGATCCGCCTGCCTCTGCCTCCCTAGTGCTAGGATTAAAGGCGTGCACCACTATGCCCAGCCTCCTTTAGTCATCTTTTTATGGTAACCGATTCCCAAGTTTATGTTAACTTTAAAATTTTAAAATTTATTTTACTTATTACTGTGTGTGTATGATGTGTGTGGGCAAAGGTATGTGTGTCAAGGTGCATGTGTGGAGGTCGGAGGACAACTTTTGGGAGTTGGTTCTCTCCTTCCACTATGGGTTCTGGTGTGAACCCAGGTCATCAGGCTTGTGTGATTTTTACCTGAGTAGTCATCTCCTTGGTCCTTGAGTTTCTTTTAGTTTTATCACTTACATATGCATTTTTTCTGTTTCTGTCTCTGTAGAGCTCTTTTATTTACATTATTTATATTGTATGTGTGTGTGTAGGGGGGGGTGTAAGAGTGTGGATGTACATAGTAAGTATGTGAAAGTCAGAGGAAAACTTGTGGGAGTTGCTTCTCTCTTCCCACCATGTGTGTTCCATGCAAAGCTTGCAGGCTTGGTGGCAAGTGCCTTTACACACTGAGCCCTCTTGTTGGCTCCAAATGGCTTATATTTCTAACAACAGTGATTTTAGGATTCATCTATATTGTTGCATGCAGTTTGTTCCTATTTCTAAATTGCGGTGTTTTAATCTCCCATCAGTGAAGTATGAGAATTCTCATTGCTGCATGCCTAGTTAACACTTGCAATTATTGGCAGTGTTTTTATTTCAGCCATTCTGGGATGGTGTAGGATTTTTTTTTTTTTTAAATCATAGTTTGAATATTCCTCTTTCCTCATGAGGTTGACACTTTTTCATAGCCAATACACATTAGTTATTTGGATTTTTTTTCCTTAGTTAGGGGCCTGTTTGAATCGCCTTTTCCTTCTCCTTCTTTTGTGGTGCTGAGGATCAAACCCACACAGCCCTCACACATTCTAGCATTCTACCACTGAACCCTGTTCCTGCCCTCAAGTCTTTTTAATCATAGTTAGAGCCTCCTCCCCTGTCTGCATCCTATAGCCCCCCCAAACAGGATTTCATGTAGTCTGTTGTGTATGTTAAAGCCTATTGAGTTAAGCTTGTGTACCCAGATGTCCCTCAGAGTGAATTCATCCACTGGAGTGTGGTCAGTCTATCTAGCATCACTCCCGTAAAGAAGATCAATTCTCCCTCACCCAGCAGTGATCCGCTGCCAATAGTCCTTTGGTTAAGGTTGGGGCTTCTTGCCCATTTCCCCAGTTCTATGCTGGTTTTTTGTCTGGTTTGAGTTTGCAAGGATCTTGTCCATGTTGTCACCATTGATACAAGTTCATATAAACAAGTTCCAAACTGCCTGGAAAACTGTTTCCTTATGATCATCTACTACCTCTGGCTCTTACAATCTTTCCACCTGTCTTCTTTCCCAATGGTCCCTGAGCCCTGGGTGGGTGAGGGTTAACACAGGAGTCCTATCCAAGGACATGCACTCTGTTGTCTTCTTAGTCCACTCTGAGGCTTGCCTTTTGTTTGTTGCTGTTGAGACTGTATCTTGGTCAGGTTGGCCTTGATCTACAGATTCACCCATTTTTTGTTTTTGTTTTTTTTTGGTTTTTTGTTTTTTTTGGTTTTTTGTTTTTGTGTTTTTGAGGTTTCTTAATGGTGGAATTTGTGGAAACCAAGTTTTGATGTATTCAGTACTTCCTTTTTCTCTGTTATGGTTATTGCCTTTTAGATTGGCTTAAAATGTCTGTCCTTTACCCCTGAAGTCATGGATA